GTAAGAACCTCACTTGCATCTGAAGAGGTGAGGTTCTTCCCCACGAAAGCTTATGCTCCCAATACTTCCGTTAGTCTTAAAGGTGCCACAGGACCCTCTGTTGCTTTTCACTTGAACTAGTGGCTCCTTCCCCTGGCCTACTTCCCTCTCCTGCCCTTCAGCTTGTGGGGGCTTCCTACCCTCCCTCTGCACAAGCCAGGTGTCCCTTTACCTAAGGTCTTCTTAGCCCACCACTCCAAACTTTCCTCTGCCACCCTCCAAACTGCTCTCTGCTCCAACACCAATCCTCTCTGCTCCAGCTCCTCCCCTGTCTGATTTAAGCAGGGGGTTTTATCAGGTGACTGGCTTCAGGTGCTCTAATTGGCTTCAGGTGCTTTAATTAATCTATAGCAAACTTTCTTCCCTGTACAGGGAACAAGGCTCCCTTCTAACCCACTCCTGCAGCCCTCTGGCCATGCTGTATCACATAAGCAAGACACGAGCAGTCATTCTGCTCTACTCCGTGCTGATTAGGCATCAACTGGAGTATTATCTCCAGTTCTGGGCTCCACATTTCAGGAAAGATGTGGAGAAATTGGAGACAGTCCAGAGAAGAGCAACAAAAATGTTTAAAGGTCTAGAAAACATGACCTCTGAAGGAAGATTGAAAAAACTGGGTTTGTTTAGTCTGGAGAAGAGAAGACTGAGAGGGGACATAACAGTTTTCAAGTACATAAAAGGTTGTTGTTGGTGGTGTCTGTAGATCGGTGGCTCTCATACTTTTGTACTGGGGACCCCTTTCACATAGCAAGCCTCTGAGTATGACCCCCTTATACATTAAAAACACTTTTTTATATATTTAACACCATTATAAATGCTGGAGGCAAAGTGGAGTTTGGGGTGGAGGCTGACAGCTCATGACCCCCCATGTAATCACCTCCCGACCCCCTGAGGCATTCCGACCCCCAGTTTGAGAAACCCTGCTAGAGATGGAGGTGGAAGAGAGAGAGCATGGCAAACTACTCTCCCTTTTATCATGTCTTTTCTTCCCTCTTGGCTTTGCCCCCCCGCTCCCCTCTTTGGAGTCAGGTGAGCATTACCTCATCGCAGTCCCAAACTGACCAAAGGGGGGTGACTTGAGAGTCCAACAGATCCTTTGTTGCTGCCTAGGCCAGCGACCTGTGTTCCTGTGAGGCTGGGCTGGGTTTGTCCCACACAGGCCCTGATGAGGTGTGAACTGCTTCTGAAGAGTTTTTGTCTGGACTTGTTTTAAGCCATGAGGACACATTTTCAGCCTCATAACTATATGTGTGAAATTACAACCTATAACATCACTGTAACAACAATGCTCAGTGCATCATGAGCCTTCCGAAGACACCCGATGTGACAAACTCTGCAATGGATCCCACACAATCATATTACAAGGATGAACATGGGGGCGCCGGGTGTTCCCCCGATGTACAGAGTGTTACAGGTGAGGACGAGCAGGCTCAGGGGGGCTCTTTAAGCAGGAGTTAAGGGAAACTGAGGCATTGGGGAGACAGACGACCTCTGAGCGCCCAGGGGCAGATGGACGTGGGTCAGTCGTGTCTCTCCAGGCCAATCTGTGGGTCCGGAGGTTGCAGGGGCCAGGGTCTCGGGGGGGGGGGGGAATCTCATGCAGGGACCAGGATCTCGGGGGGGAGGAGAATCTTGTGTAGGGACCAGGATGGTGGAGCTGAGGGGACTCCTCTTCCGCACACCGCTGAACGGCAAGAAAGACTCATTCAAAGGAAAACAGCCCCCCACTCTCTGCCGGGGGGATTCAGAACTGCCCCGCTCTGTGTCCTAGCCCCCGCACTGCTCCCAGGAAGTGGCGATTCCTATGTTGCCCAAGAGGCAGGGCCAGGGGCTGGGGCCCGGGCCCTTGTGGGGAAGTCTCAAGTGGGGGATTCGCTGTGAGGCTCTCTGTGTGCCCATGTTGTCCGGCCCAGGGTCCCGAGGAGGGGAACATTGGGGTCACAGGGTGATGACCCCCGCAATCTTTCATACGGGCACCGCCCAGGGATCACTTCCTCTTTGCCACCCCAGCCCGGCTCACGGCGATGGATCCCCCAGCACAGCGGGGAAGGGATGACCCCATGGAGGGGATGTAAACAGCCGGCGCCAATTGGTCACAGGCATCAGACCCTTCTGCAGCTTCACCCAGAGTCAGGGTGTGAACCCCGGCGCCTTGCCCAACTGACGCCCTTCCCCAGAGGGGCTACAACCCAGTGCTGGGCGAGGGGTCCCTGTAGAACCAGTGCCCCACCCCAGAGGGGCCGCATCCCAGCACTGGTAGAGGGTTCTCTCTATATTCAGCCCCCGGACCCCAGAGGTGGCCGCATCCCAGTGCCAGGTGAGGGGTCCCTGTATAACCAGCCCACGCACCCGACCCCATCTCCCCCAGGTGTTACACACATTCCCGGCACGGACACAGGGGGGCTGTGGGGTGCCCAGGTTGGGCTGGTTTGTGGGTCTGTGTTTATTACAAATCTGGAGATTAACAGGATGCAAAATAATATAAACAGCCACTTCAGTGCATCTCCTCCCCCTTCCTGTGCTGAGTCCTCCACACTGGTCCCCACATGTGGGTCTGGGGGGGCAGGGGGACAGCAGCTCCATGGGATGGGGCTGTAGTGGGGGGAGGGCAGCGTCCCCCATAAATCTTCCCTATAAGCAGAATTCTTTGGGTTTGGCACTGCAAGGGGGTGTCGCCCCCCTGGGGGCTAGCGCCCCATGGCTGTGGGGGAATCTCACTGCGGGGGCCCCCGGCTCATGTTGATCATGGCGTACATTCTGGGCTGGGTGGGCTCGGGGGCAGGGGCCAGGCCCCCCTGCTTGGCCTGCAACGCCTGGCCGTCCAGCTCTGCGTAGGTGAGTCCGTCGGCACCGGGGTCGGGCTCCTGGGGCTGGGAGGGGAGAGAGTCACGGGGAGGGGGGAGGTCTGAATCCACCAACACCCCAATACACAGAAAGCACAGGATAAGTACATACACATAGGGTTACCATACGTCCGGATTTTCCCGGACATGTCCGG